TTGAATATTTTTATTATTAAAATGTATTTTTAATTATTATTTATATACTAGGTTAAATTTTAATTTAAAAAGTTAAATTATGTTTATTAAAAATAAATATAAGATATTTTTTAAGGTTTTTTTAACGGTACCTTAAGATTTATTTAAGTTAAGGATATTTTTTATTTTTTATTTTATTTTTTGAATTTTTTATTATGGGACGGGTTCGAAACTTACCAAAAAAAAATATGTACTTTTTCAATAGCACTTATTGTTGGACCATAAGGACAAGTGCAAGGATATTTTTTAATTAATTATATATAGCATAAAAATTAATATTAATTTCTGTAAAGACTAAATAAATTGATTTAAGACCATTAAGAGTTTTTTTTTTTTTTTTGATAAAACAATATTATAGAATTAGGTTTAATACCCAATTTGGTCCTTAAACTTTCATTTGAAAACTTTGTTCGTCCTTTAACAAATGAAAGCACTCAAGTTGTCCTTTAACTTTATTTATTTGGAACCCAAATGGTCCTTCCGTCACGGAAGTGCCCAAGTGGCACGTTAACTTACCACGAATTAATCCTTTTATTTCAAAAGAACTACGTGGAAAAAAAAATGATGATTTGACCTTTCCCTTATCTTCAACCCCCATCCCTCTCTGCCATTTTTGTTCCTTTTCCTGTTCTCCAGCACCGACATTAGCCATTCCTTCTCTCTACAATTTATCTTCTCAATCCTTTCACCAGAATCAGAGACAAGCTGCCATGGGATAAACAATTCAGGACTCCTGAATCATCAGGAAATCCAGAATTCAGCACGGTCCGGTCGATCCTTACTGCACTTTCCTAGCCAACCATCCTTATAAATCTGGACACAGGTTTTCCCTGTGCAAAACAGGGGATCGTGCATGGAACAAAGGAATTCACAACTTCGACAGCCGGTGTTCTGACGCAATATTCTACAAGGATGACTTTTACACCATGGATTCAAAGGGACTCATCTGGGTTATTCGCCAGAAAGCAGTGTGATTGAATGTGCGTCCCGTCGAGTTGGGGTCCGTCCTCCGTCCCCTATACCTGCTATTACTTGGTGGAGACGGAGGGTGATTTGTTAACAGTTGCATCCAGTTTTCCTTATGGTAGCTTTCTTTTTGTTTACAGAATGGATTGGGAGAAGAAAAAGTGGGTACGGGAAAAAAGCGTGGGTGAAAATGCATTCTTCGTGGGGTGTTTTTGTTCCTATCCAGTTCCACCAACCCAAATGGTGCAGGTCTTTGCTTCTTTCAAAAAAGCAGAGTACGCGAGTGAGTGCATACTTTTCATATATGATGTTCCGGGCCATAATTACCGTAGGCTGGGTGCGTCCATGGTGTCCACAGACGTTGAACCGGGTGCAGTGTGCTGGGATTTCTTTTTGTTTTGAACAAACCGAAATTAGTTACATATTTTAAGCAATTGGGGAAAGGAAAATTGAGTCCAATTTAGGTTTAATACCCTGTGAAGGTAAAAGATACAATACCATGAGTCCATCTTGAGTTCGAATTTACTAAAATGAAAATTTCAAACTCAAGAAAAGGGAAATGAGGAAGGAGGAAGGAGAAAGGAGGAGGGTGGAGAGTAGAGAGAAAAATGAGAAAGGGAAAGAATGATGTTGCTGGTATTGGTGTTGATGTCGGTGCTGGAGAACAGGAAAAGGAACAAAAATGGCAAAAAGGGATAGGGGTTGAAGATGGGGGTTGAAGGTAAGGGAAAGGTCAATATTAAGATTAGCAAAGCATCTTTTTTTTTTCCACGTAGTTTTTCTGAAATAAAAGGATTAATTCGTGGCAAGTTAATGTGCCAGCTGGGCACTTCCGTGACGGAAGAACCATTTGGGTTCCAAATAAATAAGGTTAAAGGACAACTTGAGTGCTTTCATTTGTTAAAGGACGAACAAAGTTCTCAAATGAAAGTTTAAGGACCAAATTGGGTATTAAACCATAGAATTATGATCCAACATCAGTCGTGGGGTTGGTGGTGCGTTACATCACACCAACGTAGCATCGTTGACTCTTTTGAGAGCTGATAACATGAGAAATGAAATTAAAATTATGGAAAAGTTTTCCCTAGTTAAATTTTCAAAAAATTAAGG